GTCACTGCTTCAACTGCTCCTTTCTTTGTCACGTCTCTATCTTCTGCAGCTCACATCCCACCCTTTCTAGTTCCTTTCCCACTGCTTCTCACCCTTCCTTCTCCCTCGTTGAACTTACCTCCAGTTGCCATTTCATTGCTTCATGTTTATCTTTCTTTAACCTTTGCGTCGCCTTCACCTCCTCCAGGTGACCTTACCAGGCCTCCTCTAGCACTCGTTTCTATTTATTTGTTCAATTCCGTCCGCATATTGTTTAATTCCTCTAGCTTAACCACCCCGTCTCTTTCTATCATCTCGAAACCTACCCTAAGATTTTCGAGTCCGGCTTGCTTCGCCCGTTCTCGAGTACAGCCCGCTTCTCCCTCCCTTCCTTGAACTCCCCCTTGAGCTCCTCAAACTTAGCTGTCCACACCCCTTCTACGCCCGAAAAACCGACCTTTACCAACCCCACTTCTCCCTTACCCTTCCATCCTTTACGAGTCATCTCCCACCAAATTCAGAACAAAGCGTGCCAAATCTAAACAAAGCCAGACTCTAATGTCCTACTTGGTCACTGGTGCCAACGCTAACCGAAAGTCTCGGTACTATTTGAAACTAGCCCCAAAACACCTTGTACGCTCCAACTAATCACAAAGCTGGTAGATGCTCGAGTGGCCTGCCTATAACGCCTCTCAATGCACGCAAGACCGTCCTAGGCAACAATTAACACAACTACTGATGCGGCCAGCTATCCCGCCAAATATTCAAACGAAGCCCTGCCACATGATATTTCAAAACAAAAATAACTATAAGCTATTGTAACCTACTTTCCCTAACATTATTTATCTCTGTTTACTATGTCATGCACACATAATCACGCTATCATCATTACCCCTGTGGGATGATGATAGCATTTGTACCCAACGCGCACTCCAAGTTCGCTGGACACTATGCGGAGGGCAAGTTCGTCTGCTTCTTGCGCAGGGGGTAGCGGTGACGTCAGAACGCCGAGCCCTGATTGGCTGATGGCGACCCCCTATCTGAGCGTCGTCTGCTCCTTTGCAACGTCGTCTGCTCGCAACGTCGTCTGCGTCTGTCTTACCTTTCGTGCGATTTTCGAAAGTGCAGAGGCCAGACTCACGAAACGATCTTAAGCCAAAAATGTGCGTGAGACAAAACTTAAGAACAAATTCGTGAAATTTTCGTAAGTTTCGCGCAGGTTACGATGAAATCCTACGACAGCTCCGAAGCTGTATTACGCACTTCTTACGATCAAATCAGCATGGCCGACAGCGTCACGGTCGCGACGACCCACGGACGTTTATTTTTCTACGTGCGCTTCTCACGCGTCCCGACTTCAAGCAGCAAGAAAAAAGTAAAAAGTACTTTAAACAGACCACGACGAACGAGAACGCTGGATCCACAAGCACCCGAGAAAAGCTCCAACGGCTACGATTCCACCGAAACCGACGTAGCGAGCTCAGCAGTTAGGCCTAGCAGGCACTCCGCGACTCGGCGACCGTCTGCCCACGACCGGCTGGCGTGCTGAATGGAATATGCCCGCGTGACCCTTGTGAACCCTTCCCGTATTATACCTTGATCGCTGACCTCAATTTTAGATTAAGAGATCAATTTCTTCCTCTTGTTATCACCTTGTTTCCCGAGGCAACGGTGACTCTCGCCGGTGAAAAAGCGGTAAATCTCCGACAGACGCAGGAAAGGTAAAGCAGCCATCGCTTTGGCTAGCAGACGTAAAGCAGACGACGTTAACTGCGCCAACCCGCCGACGCCGTTAAAGAGTGAGGGGTCTTGCCGCACACGAAAGGATGGAAAAAGTATTTGGGAGGGAGCTTGCGGGCACTAACACGCTCACCTCTCGGTTCTTAGCAAACAAACCTCGGCGCCTCGGGACACCTCGCCTAAAGCCACTGTACCTCGCCGGTGAGTCCTTTGACTTGCCTCCTTGATGTGCGTCTGCTAGTTGTTAGACAAAAACAACGTACCGCTCGAGTTATTTCGTCTGCCCTCTCTGATAGGCGAAGTCGAGCTCGCTCGTAAAGACCTGCACTTCCTAAAGTCGCAGGAAAGGCAAGACAGACGCAGACGACATTGCGAGCAGACGACGTTGCAAAGGAGCAGACGACGCAAAGATAGGGGGTCGCGATCAGCCAATCAGGGATCGGCGTTCTGACGTCATTGCTACTTCCTTTCTCATGCGCAGAAGACGAAAATGAGCCCACTTGCAAGGCGTATACTCTGTTAGATTGAACTCCGTTCACCCTTAAGCTGAGAATAAAAGCTCCGTCTTCAACACGAGCTTGCTGGCTTTCGCAGTGCTTTGGTTGTGTGTCTGCGTGTTCACACTTGTGTTAGCAAGGGCAGAAAGCTCGCACTGAAGGCGGAGCTTCTAGTCTCAGCTTAAGGGATTGTCCCACAGGGGTACACCTTCGGTTTTGCCCGCAAATCGAAAAATGCACATTAAAACATAAATATCGGGCAAAATTTTTTTTTTTTACAAACTTTTTTTGGAGATTAGCCCCTCGGTTTAGTGTACCTTTAAAGGCTGACGTACAACTATATGGTGCATAGAGCGTGTCTCCGACAGGTGTGTTTAGCATCCTTGCAGCTCATACGTCAAAAGTGGTCCCGAAGTGCCAACAAATGATTTCACAAAAGCCAGAGTGTCATGCTGTCGGACGTCGCGATCCCGACGGTTAGTCGTAGCAACTCTGGCGAAGAGCACGAGCGAACGCGAGTGTCGCTGTCGTCGCGGTGTCCAAACTTCCGGCTGCCGAAGTTTCCGTGGACTGTCACACTGAAAAGCGATCTGCAGCACAACAGCCGTCTGCCACATCCACCAGCGCTGCTGCGACACCACCAGGATCGCAACCGGAGACCGCACGACACTTGTACGACGTCATCAGGCGGAAATCGAGGGACCACTTCCCCGGTTTTCTGCAGGGAAGATAATAATCCCCTTAGTGCTCCCCTCTCTTAAAGGGGCGGTGCAACGATTTTATGATTAAAAGAATTTGCATCTCACCATTTTTACGTTGTTTATCGTGTCCCAGAGGATAGAGAAAACACCTCCTTCATTAAAAATGTCGCGATTTCGCTGCATAATCGCAAAGCAAAAGTCGAGCTTCTTCCCCCACCTGCAGCCCCAAGTGGCAGCTGAAGGAACTACGGCGGAAAGATTACGTGACCTCGCTCGGCTCTAAGCTGCAGCATAGCGCCCGCTAATGTACGCAGAGAGAGGGAAGGGAAGCGTTCTCCGAGATAGCACACGGGAAGCTACACGGCACTCCGAATGACGTCACTGGGAGTGCGACCAGGTGTGACCCTGAAGGCTGGGAGTGAGTTGAGGGGTGCCCGAAATGCCAATCTTTATCTTTTTTTTACGCAACAACTAGGACACGCAGGCGAAATCGGTTTTCTGTTCTTTACTTCAGAAGTGTCAGGGGGTAGCTTCCAGAAATCTTTGACCGAAGTCCGAAAATCGTTGCACCGCCCCTTTAAGCTGCGTGGAGAAGAAAAGGAGGAGGCGGTCAAAAGTGGAAAGCGCAAAGCAGGGATGGGCAAAATACATACAAATATGTATCGAAATACAAATACAAAATACTTTGTCAAAAATGTATTTAATTACAAATCTAATTACATTTCCAAAAAAGCATTTGAATACAAGATACAAATACAACCAAATGTATTTTGTCTCCTCCAAATACTTTTCCAAATACATTCCTCAAAATTTGCGTCAGCGACTTCAGGGCACCTGCAACGGGTTTCTGGGTATCTCATTTTACTTTTGCATCGCACACTCGGGAGTTAGTGTGCGAGGCTCTAGTAACGTAATAGAAATACAATCACAAAAAAAAAAAAGTAATCAGCTTGGACGTAATAGGTGATAAAAGTACAGAGCTTCAAGCAGCTTTTTTTGTCGATTACATTTTGGTATAGACCAATAAAGAACCGAGACGACCAAGATGCGCAGCACTAGCTAGAGAATTTTTTATTGTTACAACTCGCACCAGTTACGAAAATCTGGACGACCCGTGCATGTAGAATGTTCCAGGCAAAAATACGGATGGAAATCAGGCTGGAAAGCATCACAAGTTGTCACAGGCACTTATTTAGCCAGTCTGCCTGTGAACGTCGATTTCGTCACTATTCTTGCCCTGGACTAGCACCTTAATCACAAAGTCACTAAACGATTGTGCTTGATTGAGAGACACTGCATGCGGTGCACAACGTAGTTCTCTTCCTGCTCTGGACAGTGACAATAAATTTGAGGGATGTATTTTCGCTCACAAAATTGTATTTAATTACAACTAACTGTATTTGAAATACCCACATTTTAGTATTTAAATACACACATCAAATACATGACCTAATTTGTAATTAAATACAAATGCAAAATACACAAAGTATTTGAAATACGTATTTCATATACTTGTATTTGAAATACTGCCCATCCCTGGCGCAAAGTGTACTTCAGCTAATTCAGTTCCCCCACTAAATATAGCCGGAACTGGACGGACGGGCAACATTTCGGGACTGGGGCTTCCGTGAAAAAGCAGTTTTTATGTCCTATACTGAATGTCCGTCGTCAGTGCGCTGGTTTACGAGCTTGCTCCCAGGTGGTCATCATTCATGTATTTCGTGAAAATATTACTTATCGCGGTGATCCTGCTCCCCGCCGGTCTCTACTATGGCACTCTCAGCATTTCGGCATTCAACGAGCCGCCCGGGACCGAGCTGGCAAATTAGTGAGCAGACAATGAGCAGGCTGTTATAGGACATAAAAAATGCACGGCCACCGCTCTTGCTTTATTTTCAATATTTCACCACCTCCCAGTTGAGCTCTAAAATACAAATAAAACCAACGATGTTTGTGTGCCGTTTCAGGTATGTATGCTAAGAATTGCAAGTTTGCAAGGCATGCCAATTGTGCTGGTCTTTATGGCCTCACCCTGTACATGCTAACTATGGTATCCTCACAGACTACAGTGGGGCTTCAGTTCTTATTATTGCACATGTTTAATCTTTATTCAAAGAGCAACAATGGTACTTAAAATCAATACATATTTGTTTCGTTACAATAATAAAAATGAAAAACATTTGATGACCCTGGGATAATCCTATATTTGCAAAGGGGTATTCAAGTGCCTGTCCAACTGTCAGTGTTTGTTTCATAAATCACAGCTATAACAAAGCCACTGCTCGGAGCTAAATCATTAAAACTGTAAAAAATGGCAGTCCTTCCGAGTCTATTCACAAGGATGCTGTCCTATGAAATCAGCAATGCCGAACTTAGGCACTACGAGTCGAGGTTGAAACTTTCGTGCACTCACAAAAGCGACGTAAGGGATTCTCAAATTCGAATCGCAGACAAGAAGTTTGCTGTTGTTCAACGGCCGTGACTTGAGCCCATAGTAAGAGAAACCGTTGCATGTCGTTGCGGTAACTTCGTCTTCAGGGTCGCTATCCAGGACAAGAACCTCACGTAAGGCTGCAACTGTATTGTCCTCAGGGTCACCGATGGTAATAGCAGTTTCACATGACGACCTCTTGCTGCACGGCTTCCAAGGCCTGACAAAATGACCGTTTCCCGACAAGCTTTTCCTTGCAACGCATCTTTGATTGGAAGCAAGAGTCTTCGGTGCCAGTTGATGCTTTCTTTTTCTTCGTTGAATGCAAAGACGCCTTTGCAGATCTTCTGTTCTTTCGAACTCCGGTGCAGAATGAGCATTGGGCAGCCTTCTCTGCACCTCTCCGTCAGTGGGAGGGCATGTTTGGAAAGACCCTTTTGGACAGCAGTCGGTATTTTTTAAGGCTAACTGCACAACGGGCTTTTGATCAATCATTTCTGGTGCTGCTAGCTGATGCTTTCTTTGTCTTCGTCTAATGCAGAGAGGCACAGGCAGATCTTCTGATCTTTCGAACTCCAGTGCAGAATGAGCATTGGGCGGTCCTCTCTGCACCACTCTCTCAGAGGGAGGGCATGTTTGGAGAGACCCTTTTGGACAGCAGTTGGTATTTTTCAAGTTTAACTGCACAACAGGCTTTTGATCAGTTGTTGTGGGTGCTGCTAGCTGATGTTTTCTTTTTCTTCGTTTAATGCAGAGAGGCCCTGACAGACCCGTTCTTTCGAACTTCAGTGCAGAATGAGCACAGAGCAGCCTTCTCTGCACCACTCTGTCAGTGGGAGGGCATGCTTGGAGAGACCCTTTTGAACAGCAGTTGGTATTTTTTAAGGCTAACCACACAACGGGCTTTTGATCAGTTATTGCAGATGCTGCTAGCTGATGCTCTCTTTTTCTTCGTCTAATGCAGAGAGGCCCAGACAGACCTTCTGTTCTTTCGAACTTCGGAGCTGAATGAGCATCGGGCAGCCTTCTCTGCACCACTATGTCAGTGGGTGGGCATGTTTCAAGAGACCCATTTGGACAGCAGTCGGTATATTTTAAGGCTAACTGCCCAGTGGGCCTCTGATCAATTATTTCGGGTACTGGAGGCCGTCCTGGTGCTATTCCTGAGGATTTAGCCCCAAAATTTGAAGGCAGACAGTTGCTAGAGTCATGAGCATTTAAGGAATTTCGGCGAGACTTTTCTGAAGGATCCCTTTGAGGGGTTTGCCTCGCTGAACTCCATTTGCTCCTTTGGTCTTTCGTTGCAGTAACTTCCTCTTCTACATCGCTGATCACCTCACACACAGCTGTATCCGAGCTGTCAGAATCACTGATGGAAATAACAGCTTCGCCTGAGAACTTCTTGTTAGCAAGAGTTTCCAGTGCTGGCCGAAGCTCCGTTTGGCTCAGCCGAATGCTGGACGGCCCTGCTAAACATTGTGTCGCACAATGGTTGCAGAGGAACATCTTCCCATGGCGTACTGACATACGTTCAAAATATGCTACCTTCTCTAGATGCTTGTGGCAAAGTACACAAACATAGGGTGCCACACAACTGTTGTCAATTGCCAGTTCACCTGCAGATATAATGCCCACACCAGCTGAAGACATGGCAGACTCTACAGTTGTATCTCCGACATTAGTAACGGCGTTTGTCGCTACAGGCTGGTTATGAGGTTGGAGGGGCGAATCCCCCCGTCCCTGTTCCTGTACTTCTTCGGTGCGTGGTACGAGGATTACGCTGCTAACGTGGAATCCTTGGTGCAAAGGTTCAAGTTCTTGGGAATTGACCTCGTGCAACTTGCATACCTTTTCACTGGGAAGCGACTGAACCTCGGGCGTGCTACGTTGTAGATTTGCTGGCATTTCATTCTTACTGGGCAGTTCTCGAAGGTCTTCACCTGTGCTGCAATAACCAGAAAGCATTCCCTCCATTAAGTGCTCTTTTAGGTCATGCTGTTCCGACTCGGTCGGCAGTGGCAAAGCTAAGAGACCCTTCATCCTGTTATATTCACTCATTCCTCCTGCTATAGCCTGGTTATGAGGTTGGAGGAACGAATTCCTCCGTCCTTGTTCCTGCATTTTTTCGGTATGTGCTCCGTGGGTTACACTGCTGACCTGAAATCCTTGGTGCAAAGACTCAGGTTCTTGGGAATTGTCCTCGTGCAACTTGCACATCCTTTCACTGGGAAGTGACTGAATCTCTGGAATGCTACAGAGAAGATTTGCTAGAATTTCATCCTCACTGGGCAGTTCTCGAAGGTCTTCACCTTTGTTGCAGAAATTAGAGAGCCCTCCCTCCGTTGAGCACTCTTCTAGGGTATGCTGATCCAAATCCGTCGGCAGTGGATAAGCTAAGAGCCCCTTCATGCTGTTACATACACTCATTCCTCCTGAGGGTGGCCTGCCATTGCCTAAGCCTGACTCTTGACAGATGCCAGCCTCAGAACTGGAGTCTGGTGTCAGGCCGACCTGTACGGCGTTTTCTAAGGCCTCCCACATGTTAGGGCGTTCCGTGACGACAAACTTCGAAAGTAAGCTGGCCGACAGGCCCTTAAGCATAACCCAAGCTACCGGTGCTCGGCCACTGCGAAGCAGCAGCCTGAATGGCTTGTCTGCATGTTCCTCCATAACATGCTTGAACACCTTCCATTCACTCGTGTGAACAAAGTCACAGTGCAAGCACTGTGCCCTCAGGAAGCCATGAGAATGCGCATAATGTTTTATCAGAGTGGCTGGAGATTTGTTACGTCTCTTGCACAGGTGGCAGGTGTACAGCTTATGGCCCGAATGATTCTCCTGGAGGTGCTCGCGAAACGCTTTAGCAGTTAGGCAAAAGAATCGGCAAGTTTGCACTCTCGCGATCTTCGGCCCATTTACGCACCGATAGAGCGCTGCACTGACATCGCCCAGGGAGAGGGGCTGTACCACAGGTGGAGCGATGTTCTTGCACAAGTACCAGGGCAACACGGATCCCTCGTGTGCGATCGCAGTGTGCAAAGCCAGGTGTGTCTTGGAGCAAGCACGGTACAGGCACAGTGAGCATTGAGCCTTGCGCGAGCCGTGGGCAGTGACCATGTGCTTTATGAGGCGAGGTCCGCTAGTGGCCAGGAGACCGCAGTACACGCACAGAAGTGCCTGCTCCCGGTGAGCCGACAGGTGCACCAGGAAAAGGTCATCGTCGTCGCTGGTGAAGCTGCAGCTGCTGTCCATGCATTTGAAGAAGTGGACCAGGTTCTTGGGCTGCATCAGGATGTGAAGCGCGCACAAAGTCTTGCACTGCCCAGTGGGTGGGAGCAGCAACACCTTCGGGGTTGCCATGCTTCCTCGGCCACCTGCATGGCACAAAAACCCATGCTCTTGATACCATGCAAATAAAATTAGGTTTTCAAATGCTACATTTTTAATGTTTGGCTCAGGCAGACCCCATAAAATGCAATGTGCCTAAAAAAAACATTAGATTACTTTAGCAAAATCAGTTACTTCAAAGAGTTTCCATAATGCAGCTAGAAATTCTAATTGAAAAGCTGACATATGGATCTACACTACATAGTCGAATACAAAAGGGGGTGTATCTATTTTCTGCAAAACACATTGAGAGCCAAACGCTGCAATTCATGGCAAAGGCCTTGCTGATGATGAGGCTCAGGGTGCAGTAAAAATCCCTGGCGAATCCTAGCGTGCACAAAAGTTATCCTCAGTGTTGTAGTGCAGATTTTACACCCATCTGAAAATATCTGCCTCGTTTATTAGTCCTTGAATAGCTATTATTGGCTCTCTGCATGCACAAAAGAAAAAGCATAGCTAAAATTAATATTCTTTATTTTTCTGTTTGGAGAGGCGGAGAAAAAAGCAGCTCGGACACTGTTTGACAAACTTCTGCCTCCCCCATGGCAGCAGAGAAACAACACGAAATGCTCAATATTCAAAGGAAAAATACAAACACAAACAAAAGTATAAAGTAACACATAGACATTAAGAGAAAAAACAGAGCAATCAATTACTCCAGATTTATGCTGGTCACAACAATCATAGTCATTAACAAACATTAAACATAATTTTTTTTTACTTTTGCTCAAGATACTTTTGTTCAATTCAGCCAGATGATTAAAAATAAATGGGGTATTACACATCTTAATTTCTGATTGCCCTAGTTCCTTCTGGGGTGTGGCACTAACCATGTGTCTACACCATTATGACTAACAAATTTTTTTGCATGAAAAAAGAAACAACTATGTTCTTGTGATTTGGAATCCTTGCACGAGTTCCACATTGGTGGCGCTGAGCGATGACGAAGATCAACCGGCCTGGCAAATAACAAGATATGCTGGGGTGGATCCTGAACAACTTTTATTCTGATGAAGATGCGCAGATATGTTAACATGACACACAGTGCCTTCCATATACAACAAATCCCCCACGCCCCCTCAACCTGGCTACGCCACTGGTGCTCAACTTGCTCTGGGGCCGGTGCATATGCCACTGGTGATGGTAGAGCTTTGGCTTCCTGACTTGCGGCCTCTGCAGACGTTCCATCACAGCATTCTCACAGCATTGGAGGCGATGTCTCCTGGCGATGACGGTGGCGGCAGCATCTTTTTATGTCCACTTCCATGGAAGAATGCAGATTGTATGAAGTTCCCACCACAACCCCATGTTGCTCTCTAATCTTCTAAAACAGTTCCTGACTTCCTTGCACACCTCCTCTGGCGACCAGAGTCAGCTTTGCCACATCCATTTCTTTCCATTTTTGGGTAGAACTGAATTTTTGCCCACGTGTCTTTTCACCTATATCAGCAAAGAAAACTTCTGCTGTCCCTTGGGGACTCCCATCCTTTACCTTCACACAATTTCCAGGCTCGATGGTGGCATTGCTGGCACCTCATCTCATCGGTGTACCTATTGGCCTGCTGATGCTGCTCCTAGAACCAACGTTACAGATTTGCAATGCAAGCCATGGCTTGTCGAAGAATCCCCTTTAGGGGTGTCTAAACACACCCAGCTCGGTCCATGGCCTCTTTCCATGTAGCACGTACGCCGGAGACATGCCTGTAGACGCTGAGGTACCTCAAGATGGCTCCCTTGAGGGAGAGAGAGATTTTGGGGGTTTATGGCGCAATAGCTACGAGGCCATCTGCGCCAAACTAATTGAAGGTTTGTACTATAAAACGAGTTTTACAAACGGATAACCAAAAAGCTAGAATCTGTGTAAAAGGCCAATACTACCAAGAAATTCTATTACTCGTTCAAAAAAGACCAGAGGATTCTCTCCCAGAAGGAGAGCAGGATGAAATGGGATATGATGTTGAAAAAATTCAGGGAAATGAAGGCGGCGCTTGGGCTCAAGGCCGGGGCACAGCCACAAGATATGCAAAACAGTGAGCCTATCACCACACTGATCGCAGACTGGTGGATCTTCTCCCGAAAGCAGATACCTATGGGTTATAAAAGAGTGTCCGATTCTCAGACGGCACAACAACGTTTCATGAAGTCGGTTCTTGCATGAAGAGCTTTCCCAAACTCCCAAAGCCGGTTTGGTAACATGAAGCTTGTTACCGCACTCCATGTCCCATTCCAATCGCCAAGAATGAAGAATCGAAGACTTCACCAAGGGCTTAATATCTTGATAGGGTAAACAGGACAGAGATTGCGGAAGGTTACCGGCAGACCCTGCAAGCCTGTTGGCTTCTTCATTGCCTTGTATGCCAATGTGACTGGGTACCCAACAAAATTTTATATTTTGACCTCCATGCAAAGCAGTGTTAAGTTTATATCGAATCTGTTGTACAAGCATATTTTTAGTATTTTTAAGAGAGCAAACTGCAAGAATCACACTTTGAGAGTCAACAAACAGGACCGCCCTCAGTATTTTCCAATTGATAATGCATTCGATCGCCATTGATACCGCATAGAGCTCCGCAGTAAAAATGCTGGCGACACAATCGAGTCGTTGAACCTTGGAGAAGCGTTCAGAATACACAGCGCAACCGACAAAAGAGGAGGTCTTGGCACCATCTGTATAAACATAAAGATAACCATCATTCTTAGTTTGCAGTTCACCAAACTCTTGCTTAATTACAGCATGGGAAATGCCGTGTTTGTTGAACTTCGCAAGAGACCAGTCGGATTCAACTCGCTGTGCTTTCCAAGGTGGAATACCGTTGACTTTCCTAACGAGTCCGACCTGGTCCAGAGAAAGGTGCAAAGAAGTGCGAAGATGTTCAATACGGAAGCTTAAGGGGAAACACTGCTTCTTGAGCTTTTTTTCTTTATTTATGGTCCAATCCAAATGAAATTTATAGAGCATAATCATCTTCCCATTCTGATGACAAATATGTACATTGTTTTAAAATAGTTTGGTTAGTTTTGATAAAATTAACTATTTTATTTGAACATTTTATGGGCGAGATTCCAAAAAATTATGAAGACAAAACTCAAAAAGAAATATATCTCTGTAAACTAGAAGGTCTACAGAATCCAATAAGGTATAAATGAAGGCTCCATGATTATTTATAACATTTTTACGGCATTTCGAAATTTTCAGTTTATAAATCAATTTTTACAATCTATGTTGGAGGTGCTAACAAAACATACTGATGCCTAGGTTGATGGAATTAGACCCCTTATTGGATACCCCACTTATACACCTACCAAAGAAAAAAAGAATTAGGGAGATCGGTTGTGTACAGCCTGAAATACGGCTTCCACAAAATAGCAAACTGCGCAAAAAGTTCATTTCGAGAAAACGGCAAAAAACGTTCACGGACAGATTTTTACTGCTACCCGCGGCGAACTCCACTCGGATGCGAAATCCCCGCAGATCTTGCAACATAGCTTGAGTTTTACTGCAAGTCCATACTCGTGATCGCATTTTATGAGTTCGGCATCGCCGCAACAAGCTTTACACTTCGCGAGTTGAAGAAGCGAATTCACGACGTCGAGGCTTACGACGATGAAACTCTCTGTACTCTCGGGAGCTTCTTGATCGGCGCCCGAGACGCCGGCCATCAGGGCAGCTTTCCGCGTCGTAGCGGACGTCGATGAAAGTTCTTTAGAGTTTTTCCTCGGCTTTTTTTTTTCTTTCTCGTCGATCTCGGAAGCGCCGAGCATCACCGTGTCGAGCCGCACTCGCTCGCTTGAAGTCACGGATGTCGACGGCGCCGTCGATGCGACATCTTCGTGTTTGGGCTTCCGCTCCTCGTTGTCGACGTTCAGGCTCGCAGGAAGTTGAACTGCGCCGTGGATTAGCTTCCTCGGGCCCTTTTTTCGTTTTTTTCCAAACTTGTGGGCCGTGTGAAACTTTTTCCGTGGAGTTGTTGTGATCGGCATGATCAGAGACGCGCACGAGAATCAAACAAGATGGCGGATCGGAAACAACGAGCAGACACTTCGTAACCCTAACGGCCAATGAGAAAGCGCCATTTGCACATGTGATCCAAAACAGCCAACCGCGTGGCAAGATTTAGTTTTTTATTTGTCCTTCGTTCTTGGTGGCCAATCGCCGTGTAGCATCGTGAATGGCGGGAGAAGAAAGAGCGGGAGTGGAGCTTTCAAATGAGACCAAGATGTCCCCCTTCTATCGCATTGTTCTTGAGCTACCGGCGGTCGAATTGTACCTTTTTTCTGCTTTTTTCGGAGAAAAAATCTCCGTTTAGATACTTCAAATCAATACCCCGAAATAAATAGGGCGTATTTTGCGATAATACTTTGAGAAAAGATGCGAAAATACCTGTAGATATTAAAAAACATAATTTCAAAAATGTAATTTTTTTGTCATTTTTTTGTTTCAAGGAGCCGTGTCCCCCCTTAACGGTGTCACAATGCTTGGTTTATTTTCAAAAAGGCGAAAAAACCTTGACCTTGTAAGTGAAGAGTATGTCGGATGCTGGGGGTCGGCCAGAATCTTGTAAGCATATGTTAGACTAAGATATGTATGTCGTTTGTTCAGGGAAAGCTCATTGGATTCTGCATAACAACTGAGGACGGGCGACGTCCGGAAGGCTCCTGTTGCCAGTCGCAAGCCGAGATGGTGAACTGGGTCCAACATTTTAAGGGCAGAGGGCCGAGCCGATCCATACACTACTGCACCGTAGTCAAGACGGGATCGTACAAGGGCGTTGTATAACTGCAGGATACATTTTCTATCAGATCCCCAAGACTTGTGAGATAAAACTTTCAAAAGGTTTGTGGACTGAAGGCATTTTTGCTTCAGAGCTTTAAGGTGGGAAATAAAGTTAAGCTTTTTATCAAATATTACACCAAGAAATCGGTGCTCTTTGCTAACTGGAATAGGTGTTCCATTTAATTCCAGGAATGGATCCAAAGAGAGCCCGCG